TCTTCTGAGACAATGCTGCCAGATGTATTATTCTAGGAAGCCACTGGTTGAGTCACATGGGAGGAAATGCAGTTTTTCACCTTGGTTCCAAACCAGTACTTAGGATATTTTTGTTTAGGGAGTCAACATCTTCCCAGTCCACAAAATTCTTACCAGTTACCTAAGGGCCACAAACAACTGCAACAAAAGCCCACCAACCAATGCTAGCATTTAATACAATGAACGTGGCCTATACAATTATTTGTCCTAGGTAATGTGGAAAGCTGTTCTAGCCCTGGCCTATCAGCTCTTGGTAAGTAGGTGAATGCTTTTGCTATGCAAATAGAGCAATAATAGATGAGCAGGCATACATCTGTTAAGGTTACAACAAGTACTGGAAAACATAGGGAAGAGAATGAGAGAGAAGTCTGCCTAGAACCAGCACAGGTGAATGAATTAAATGAAAGATTAGTAGAATGACAATTATTCAGGGGTGAAGAAGAGGGAGAATAAAAAGACACTGGGGAATAAGAAATACAGTAAGGGGAAGAGACACACAGACATAACTGCCGAACATCCCTTTCCCCAAACAGGGAAACTAGTTATCCTGAAGGGGAAGGCAGGGCAGCCAAATGACTGGGGGATCAAAAGGATGGTGGGGCCTGGGCTAGCCTTTTCACTCACTTCAAGCAATTCAGCAGGGGGCACAAGAAGGGTATTCATGAGGTGCCGTGTAAGGAATTAAGAGGGAAGGAATAAGGGTTGAATCTAAGAACCAGTGGAAAATTCCCTGCTTCAATTCTTCAATGTTTGTTGAGCATGAGGCACAATCAACATCCTTGTACCAAGTGGTCCCTGCTCACACGCTAATGTCTTGAATTATACAAAATCCCTAGTTCAGCGTGTGGGTATTTGCAGAGTGAGACGCAGTCAAAAGCAAGGGAAAGAGAGACTCAAATAAGGGAGGATCTAGTTGAATGTTCTAACAGAAGCAGCACCAGGGGTGGGTGATTGGGAGCTAGGAAGGAGGAGGAGGGGGAGAAGGGAATGGAGACAAAATGCAGAGTGGAGCTGAAAAGAGGCCAGGCTTGTATGGGTTCAGGCTGGAGACATGTCTAAAACAAGCGGAATAAACCAATTTAAGATCAGTCATTCTTTGGCAGTACTGGATGGAGCGGGGTGGGTAGGGGAGAAGAAGGAAAGAAGGTAGGTGCCAATCCCTTGAAAGAAGCATATCAGCGCAGGGCAGAAAACCAATCAATTCATTGTTGGTACACTGCAATAAAAATGCTCTAGCACCGCTTAGGCAGACATGCAAACTTGCTTGAAAAGGCCGGTCCCAGCCCTAACTCAGGCCAGAATCTAAGTAATGATTCCTAAAGGAATGAGTCACTTACCTTTCTAAATTATGGTCAGCAATAGTTCAGTCGAGGTCACAACAGACCAGACCTACATTCTAATGTGTGAAATGCGCAGCGTATGCCTCTTTCCCCTTGATTTTCTATCCCTGGCTCATAGAAATGATGCCTTTTCACCCCATTAGGCGCAGTTTAAGAGACAGCTACTGTTTCTTCCCATTGTCTTTGAGCAAAAGTTGTACCTTGACGGTACAATCTTGAACAATTTTAATATTTTTCTCCCACTGACTTGTCTTAGGAGGCTTAGATGTATGCTTAGAAACTGGAAATGTCTGTTCATTAGTCATGGGCATGGCTGGGTTCCTGCTCTGACCAAAAAAAAAAAGTCTTGTGTCTCTTAAAGGGAGGAATGGAACTGCATGCACTTGGTGACCCAGACATCTCCTCTTTGGCTATCTATTCTTCTCTGATGTTGAAAGGGCTGGGGGTCCAACATTAGCCATTATTGTCACTTTGAAGAACAGTTTCAATAGTTAATGAAAAAAAATAAAGGCATTGGACTCAGAGTCAGGTAGGCCAGGATTCAAATCTTTCTTCAGATGCTTACTAGCTGTAGACTCTAGGCAGGTCATTTAACCTCACTAGGCCTCAGTTTACTGAACTGTAAAATGAGAGGGTTGAACTTGATGGCTTCGAAGGTCCCTTACAGCTTTAGATCTACGATCCTATGAACTTTCTCGGGCTCTCTTAGGAGAGGAACAAGACCAGTTGTATGTCTGGACTTTAAAAACTGTTTTTTGGCCTAACGCTAAACCCAGCACCATGGCCATAAAGAAACACATCTTGACAATATGACGGCAGCACCTTCAGGAATGTCAGAAAAATCAGGGCATCCCCCTTCCTCTATGGGGAGGCTTAAAGTTTTCTTGGTTTGCCAGTAGGATTTTCTTTTCTCTAGGTTCTTAGCAAAGAAGAGTCTGGAGATTTTGAGCAAGATACCTCGATCTTTGTCAAGACTCATGGAAATCTCACACACAGAGGATAAAGCACCAAGCTTGGAGTCAAGAAGCCCTGAGCTCAAATCCAGCTTCAGACACTTACCAAGCTGTGTAACTTTGGGCAAGCCATTTAACCCATGCCTGCCTCAGTTTCCTCAACTGTAAAATGGGGATTAGAATCGCACCCACCTCCCAGGTAGGGTTGTTGTGAGGATCAATGAGATAATACCTGTTAAGTGTTTAGCACAGTTCTGGCACAGGATATACTATATAAGTGCTTATTCCCTTCCCTTCTTTTTTCTTCCCCATCCCACCCCCTTATCTGGTAATTCCATTTCAAACAGATTTGATAATTGGTTTAGAAACAAACCGCACACTCACCCTAAGGCTACATTTGGTTATTTAAGATTTTTGTGTGTATGTCTATGTATCTACATTTATGTATATATTTATCTATAAACACATGTGTAAATTTCAAGCCCTTCAGGGTTATAAAGAGAGCAAAGATTTTCTCCAGGCTCTCTTCTAATTCATGGGAGAGAAGGTCTTTCCCTGTACAATCTCTGGGGAGAGCGCAAAGGAACAAGCTGCCTATTTTAGTCAGCCTGTTGGGAAAGCAGGGCCCAGAGCAAGCGTCCAAACCACAATCTTGTTGCACAGAATTAGGGTAAATGCATTGCTAAATGGGCTCCCTCCCACACCTGCTGACTGCACTCCTGTTATGCTGACCTCTTCAATTAGAGCATCATATAAGGCTATTCGTCCAGGGGGACTGCATGGGCCACAGCCCCTCAGTCCCTACCCACCTGCCTGACCCTGTGGGCTTATTCTAAATTCGGGCCATTATCTGTGTGGGAACAGCAAGGCTTCTAATTCCAGGTCCTTTCTGTGTGGGAATGAGTACATGTGACTGGAAATCTACAAGCACTAGACTTGAGTGGGCTGCTCCCTGCCCCTAGGGTACTCCTCAGAGGGCACCAGCATTTGACCCCATTTAAATGTTCTAATTCAACACTTGACAACAGAAAGGAAAAAAACAAACAGGGAAAAAACCTTGCTCCCTAACAACGGGGTACAGCTGGCACAGCTCAGGGTGTTTCAAACACAGGTAGAGCACAGGGGCCCCCGCGTGACGGAGGAGGCCCATTCATCACAGGTACGGATGCCCCAGCCCTGACACCATAGAGTTCCTGAATGGAAACAGTGGTTCTGGGAACACAGGTCTGATCTTGTGGTGACACACGGACGCAATCATCTTAAAGGGGCTAATTATTATTTTAGTGTCCTATTGCTCTGTGTCACTAAGAAGACTCAGTGCGGCCCTCTGTGGATCTGTCTGAGACCTAAGTGGTTATAGGTGAGATTGAGTCTGGGTATTGTGGATGTCACAGGCCAGGGGAGATAGAAACAAGAGTTTGTCCCTGCCAGAGCATGGGGCTGGTAAATAAGCTGTGATCCAGGGCCAGAGGAGCCCTCAGATTGACCAAGAACCATTCAGTGAATTGACAGGCAGAGTGATTTTGTGCAAAGAGCAAAGAACTTGAAGCCAGAAGACTCAGGTCCGAGTTTTGGCTCTAGCACCCACGAGCTGTGCAGCTTCTCTGCCTCAGTTTAGTCATCTGTAAAGTAGAGATGACCACAGTCACTAACTGCTCGACATCACTTTGAGGAATGGGAGCTATCCTTATTCCTGCTCCAGCGTCCTGAAAGGTTAAGCAGATACTCTGCCCGTGGGGTTATCTGCTCATTCACCTTGACAGATCCAAAGAGCCTCCATTTTTCTAGCTCAATATTCCTGTTCTCCAAGCGAAGAAAACCTGTGCTCCAGAAAGCTGCCTCTTGGTATCATAATCAGTAAGAAAATAAATGGAGACAGAACAAAGCCAAGCACTGGGAGGCTGAGGACATGCAGCATACTGTGGGGCCAGGCATCCCCCAAACCAAATCTTAGGGGCTTCTTACATCCTCCTTCCCTGGAGCAGTGATGCCCTTATAGGGCAGTATGCCAGCCTCTAGAGCTCAAAAAAGCCCAGAAGGACAACTCTCCATCAGAGTGGCCGATGGCCATGTGGCAAACAGGGAAGGAGAAGGAAGGACAAAGGGAAGATGTGGGAAAGCTGAGAAGTGTTTCTGGTGGCCTGAGCTTGCTGCATGGGGAGACGGCCAAGCATTCCTGAATATTTCAGGGAAATGGTCTAGGACAGGAAATCAATATGGGAATCCATCTCCACTCTGTTTCAGAATGCCTCTTCTGTGCTTCCTGTAGCAGTGTGCTGAAATGGGGAAGGGGATGTGGGGAAAGCCCATGGCCTCTACCAGGCTTGGAACATGCGGCCACACTGAGTCAGAAGACCAGCCCCGGTCCTACTGCCCAGTCCTGTGAGGGTGAAGCGATTTGTTATGGAGCCTTAAATTTCAACTCACGTCTTTCTCCAGCCTGCAGGAGTCACCCCTTCAAAATAAAGGCAGCATTAGTTCCAAGATGCACTTAGGGGGTGGCCATAGTGAGTGTGGTTTGACAAGTCTCTGTAAAGTGTCCTGAAGGGAGGAACTGCCTCCTTACCTCAGTAGATCTTTCTCAAGGGTGATGAGTAAACGACTCAAATCTGTTAAGCGTTCAAAAATCAGACACAGAGTAGCAAAAACAAAATAAAATCTTCTGTACCTTCATCTCCTCCTCCATTTCTGACATTTTCCGCTCCAGGGCTCTCCTCTCCTGTTTCAAAAAAACCGTGAGTGTGTTTTAGGAGGGAGTCAAACTGTGCTTTCTTTCAGCTGGCCTTTTAGAGGTAGCTGTGTAACCTGTAAACAGCAGCTTTCTTTAGCTCCCACCCAAAGGGTTCACCTTTTTTTGGTTTGGGCACACTTATATCCCAGGTTTGGGGTTCTATGGTAGAGCTTACCATTGGGGATAGGGCTACTTCCCTGAGGAAGACCACATTATCCAAATTCCATAATGGAACAGCAGAGGACTGCACAGGGAAATAGCATAAAAAATACCACTAGAACAGTACCAAGTCATCCTAGGCCACAGTATATATGTCAAAAATTTCTTCAAATTTAAAATGACTTCAAGTGACCAACACCTAGTTTTTCCTTTTACCCACCTCAGTAAAGCTCCTCCCACACATTCTCCGAGTCAGTGTCCCTCATGATGGGGAACAAGTATAGATTGCCCTGGATAGATCACCTCACCCCCATCCCAACTATGTTGTTTCTTTTTATTCTGAAGACTAATCCCTACTAGTCCCAGTAAAGGGACCCTCACTGGGATAGATCAGATGGAAACTCAAAGAGGTTTGCCTATAAGGGGAACAGAATGTATAACTTAGCTAGTTTTCAAACATAAAGTAATGGGAGAGCTAGACAGAAAGACACAGTCAAAACCTAGCTGAGCTCATGTATTCAAGTCAATCACAATTCAGGTCTCTTAGTAGAGACAGGTCAAGCCCGAGGAATATCCTCAAACCTTTTAGGCAAGGGCCTCAGCTAGCAGAGAACCAGAGATTCTTCAGTCAGTGGAGATCTCTGCTGGCTCACGTCACCTCCCGGATGAGCACCTCTCTTCTGCGGCTGGGGCCTGGAGGGGTCTAGAAACTTTGGTGGGGGGTGTGTGCATATGATGATTTTCAACTAAACTGAAATGCATGTTTTACGGGATGACGTGGCACAGTGGAGCCTGGAAGCAGGGTCAGTATGAGATGACCAAGAATGGAACAAAGGGAAAGGATCAGCCATCTGGGATCTCAAAAGGATTAGAAATTAAACTCAGGCAAAAAGAATTTTTCATGAAGCTGGGGATAGAATGTGGCCGTACTAATAATGCCTTTTTAAGATGAACTTTTTCCATTGGCAAGAACAACAAAGCCAAGGAGAGTAAAAAGAGAAACAGAGATGGAGCAGAGGGGAAAGAGGAACACACGTACCCTTTTCTCCACCTCCAGCATTGTTGATCGGTCAGAGGTTTTTTCTTGTTTCTGCTGGCACCAATGAAAAAACCCAGATATTACTGTTGAAAGTCTAGGACATACAGAAAGCCCAGTCTACCCTCCCTGCCATCCTCAGCCTGACATTCACAGACAGAAAGCAGTGCTTCAGAGGTTCCCCGCCCCAGGAGTCCCCCACCTGTTATACTGAGATGGACCGACAGAGGGTCAGCCCAATACAACAGGTCTCTGAGTCAGCTGCCCCCTCCTCCCCTCAACTGGGTTTGTCTGGGTTCCCAGGGGCATGTTAGTGTGAAGGGAGGATGAACAGCCAGCAGCAGGAGCCATCTCTTTCCTTCTTTATTTCAGCACCTCCCCATCCTTGACACCTGGCTGTCTTTCCCAACTCTCCACCTGTGTTTTATAGGATGGGACGTTGTGAATCTCAAAATGAGAAAACCACTTTGAAGTTTCTTCTTCCCCCAAACAGTCCCTTTCCTAAGCCCCTTGCTTCTAGCATCCAAGGGCACTTTAGATCACCCGAAAGCACAGCATGCAAGTGGCTTAAGAAGAACAAGAACTGAATTTCTGGCAAACAAAATGGGACATCCTTAGATTGGAGGAATGTCTAGTTGGGGGTCAGGGAATGGACTAAATAAAGTTTCAAGTTCCCTTTTGGGCCACTGAACCTCATAAGGTGTCTTCTATATTGGTGGTCCACAAAAATAAAATCGTTAATTGACTTTACTCCTGGATGGCGCACAGGCAGCACTTAAGCAAGATGGTGGTTATGCTGTTGCTAGGCAGGAACTCCAAGAGCCGTCCATACTTTTACAGCAAGACTCAGAAGCCTGACTCCCATCTTGAGCTCTTACTTTCTAGTTTGAAAGTCCTGGCTCCCTGCTTTTTACCTCTATCCCTTCATCAGATCCTTCCTGGGAAGGAAGATGAAGGGAGAGCAGAAGTGGATCTTTTCTCCTGCATTTGCTTAGTAAGGCATATTTTGTGAAGTAGAAAGAACACTGGAAGTGGAGTTGTAAGAGCCAGATTCTAGTCCCGGCCTTGCCACTGACCAGCATGCTATAGTCATTTCCCTTCTCCGGGCCTTTCTTTGGGAAGTGAGCCCTTCCCTTCCTCTCATCTGTACACAAGATGATTTCTAGGGTCCAGTCCAACTCTGACATGCTCTGATCTGAATTCTCACTTTCCCAAGTTTCTAAAGATGCCGTAGATGCTATCTTATGAGATACAGTCATTTAGCATTTTGAAGCTACTTTTTTGCAAAGGAAAAGTATTCCATGATTTTATTCTCTTTGATTTTCAATCAAGAACAGGTGTGTTAGATAACACTGCCATATGTGTGATGATGGCAATCTCTCCTTTTACGTGCACACAAATATGCAATCCCTCTCTGAAGCACGAGGCCTGCACCCAAACCAGAGCTCATTATCCTTGCTCCCAAACTCACCTCTTTTCCTAACTTTCCCTTCCGTCTGGGACATGCCATGTCTCTGACACTCAGGCTCAGTCTCAGTCATCCTCGGCCCTTCTTTCATACTCATGCTTCACATCCCACCAGTTGCCAAGACTTGTTAATTTGGCCTCCATATCTCATAACCACCCTCTTTTCCCCACTCACACGGCTGCACCGCCCGACTGAGGCCTTGATCACCTCTTGCCTGGACCGCTACAGTGACCTCCCATCAGTTCTCCCAGCCTTTAGTCTCTTCCTCTTTATTCTCCCCACAGCTGCCAAGCTGATATTCCCAAAGTAGGATCTGACCCTGACACTCACCTTCCCAAGAAGTGACAGTGGCTTTGTCGTGCCTCTAGTATAAAATATGAACTTCTCTGCTTTGCTTTTGAGGCCCTCCCCTTTCCAATCCCAGCCTTCCTCTCTAGGCTTTTCACACTCGACTCTCCCTGCACACATTCTGTGCTCCAGCCCCACTGGGCCTGCCCGCTGCTCCCCACAAATGGCACTCCATCTCCTGCCTCGCATGAGCAGTCTCCCATGCCTGAGATGCCCTCCCTCTTCCCCTCCACCTCTTAGAATCCTGGGCTTCTTTCAAATCTCAGCTCGTGTCACCTCTTACACAAAGTCCAACCTGATTCCCCCAGGTGTCAAGGTTTTTTTTTTTCCTGGAAGTTACTTTGTATTTCATTTTCTCTCTATCTGTATCTCCAGCACCTGGTACAGTGCCTAGCATAGAAATGGTGCTCAACTGTTTGTTGAATGAATGGATATAGGGCTGTCAGATCCTTCATCATGGGATGCCAGTTCCCTTAGAAAATGGCAAACACTATTTTTAAAAAATTCCATGTTTGGAAAAATCACACAAGAAGAGAGTTCATAATTTCATGGTCTCCCCAGAATTTCAATCCTTGGGTGCAGCTGGCAACAGTAGCTGTACTCACCCTTCCCCCCACTTCCTCCCCCATAAGTAGTACATCAAAGAATATGGGCTTTCTCCCAGGAATCAGACAGGGTGAGGCTCTTTACAGCACCCACCTTGTAAGTCAACACGGGATGCTGGCTAGACAGCTTGCCAGATGTGGAACACAGGCTGGAGAAGCTAAGAACACCCAAAGACCCTAAGAAGTGCTATCTTTCATGTCTTTGGAAGAAGAAGAAATGAAAAAGGGGAAGTTGGGTCCCTCCACTGTGAGGTTTAAGCTTTTCCTTTGAGTTTGAATTACCATTAAACTCCACTCTCTGCTTGTGCTGGGGCAGGATCTCTGACAAGCAGAGTCTATCAGTCAGAAACCTGTACTCCAGCCAGGAAAATCCAAGCCTCTGCTCTCGTCTGAGGGCTGTGGGAGCATTTCCTGGGAGCAGGTAGCCTCCCTCTATTTGTCAGTGGCCAAGGTGCTATGGCCAAACTGCTGCAGTGCCACTCGGCCTTCTTGAGCTTTTTCTATCCCTTACCTTACCTTACCTTACACTGCGGCAAGCAATGAGCTGAGTGAGAACTTAATAAAAACCAACCCCTGCCATCTAGCAATACATACTGTGGGGTTCTGATCACTGCTCTTCACTCTCATGTCCAGACTGAACAAGCCCATTTCTTAGTTTTATTTTTTCATCTTCTTGATTCATTTTAAAATCAGTTCACTTTTCCAAATCCTTAGACTCTTGACATTTCAGGGAGGGCAGTAACTCGATAGGTTTCCCGTTAACTCCACAATAAACTAAGCACATGCTTCAGCTTTCAGCTGCAGGGTTTGTTTCACTGGGAATGAGGTTATTACCTCCAGCACCTTTTAAAAGCATCATCTAATTAAACCAGGCTTAGCTGTAACAGAAGAGTGGTTTACTCAGTCTTCTAGCCATTAAAGATCCTTGTTCCTAGACAGTGATGGCTGAGATGACAGCGGGCTGCGTAGCCTACTGGAGAGCACCTCAGCTTTGGATTCAGGACAAAAGGGCCTCACAGCACTCATGGTCTCAGCTCTCAATGTGCTATATGACCTTGGCTGAAAACATCGCTTATATCTGGGCCTCAGCCTCTCTGAAATATAGAGTGAGAAGGTAGCTGGAGGATGAGTCACCAACAGGATGACGCTGAAAGCAGACAGAACCAACTGGGCAGTGCAGAGAGCGGCCAAAGCAAGAATCAGTCCTCGGCAATGTGGATAATCAGGAGATATTTGCTCAACATTTCATTTTTCCATTTTAGGCAAAGTAGTAAGTAAGCCCTGACAGCAGACAAAGATTTCTGTGGCTTATCCTCCACCCCTCCCATTGATCTGAGGCCTTGTACTCCTCTCCCTCACAACCTCACCTGGGCCACCTTTTCCAATTTAGATTTGACGTCCACCAGCTCCCGCTGAGCCTCCTGCAGTTTGGTTTTCAGCTTCTGGTTTTCTGTCAGGGCACTCTCATAGAGCTTGGGGAAGAAAAAGAGAGCACCTGATCACCCACTCATTAGCACTGTTGGGAGGAGAAGGGGCAGCGGAACCCTAATTCCACCAGCAGAGCCAATTCCAGATGAGAAAATTATGTAAACCAATCCCTTCTCTGAAACATGCAACTTTGGGGAGGGCCAGGGGCCCTCCCAGGGACTTGCCCAACATCATATAGCAAGCTTGTGTCAGAGGCAGTACTTGAACCTGGGTCTTGACACCAAGGCCAGGTCTCTTGTCCACTAGGCCATATTGTCTCTGCCAGAAATACACAGGAGAGAATGAAATACTCCAAGTGACAGAAAAGATGGAAGTTTTTTCTTTTTGAAAGTAATAGAGACCCAGATGATGAACATACAGGAAAGCACAGATGATGTCCTAACATCAACCAAACATCAATTTTTTTTTAAAGTACACTGCCTGGCACTCCTTCCTTCCTTCCTTTTTCCAGACGCAGCTAACAAAAAAAATCAATTCTGAATAAAAATCTTTCTTTTGCTTCTTTCTAGAACATTTGAATCTCCTAGTACAAATAACCCTTATGTGCCTATATCAAAGAGAATATTTCAGAACTAGCCTCAGGGGGCAGAGCCAAGATGGCAGAGTGAAAGCAGTAACTTGCTTGAGCTCTCTCCCAAACCCCTCCAAATACCTATAAAAAATGGCTCTAAACAAATTCTAAAGCAACAGAACCCACAAAAAGACAGAGTGAAGCAAATTTCCAGCCCAAGACAACCTGGATGGTTGATCAGAAAGGTATATTGCTGGGAGGGGAGAGGAGCACAGTGTGGCATGGGCATGTAAGCCGCAATGAACCTGGAGCAGGACTCAGAGGACTGAATCCCGGGCAGCTGTGATGGCTTCTAAACCTCTCAACCCATGAACACCAAAGACAACTTAGAAGGTCAGTGGAAAAAGTCTGTTTCTGTGGTGCTGAGAGAGGAGGTAGGTCAGAGCCAGTTCCAGAGCGCGGGCGCCAGGGCAGTAGCTGACAGACTGACGGGGAATCGAGTGGCTGATCAGAGGTGGATTTCAGGGATCTATTTGCCAGTGCTGAGGCAGGAATCTCTTGCTTTGCCCATGCGTGGATCTGGGTCACAGTTCTGGGCGGTGGTTCTAGGCGAGGAGGAGTGCTGGCATGGTGGAGCTTGTAGTGGCAGTGGAAAGAAAACTTCACAGTTTCAGGACAGAAAAGAGTGCTTGTGGTCACTAACAGACCAGAGCACAGGCCAGGAAAGGAGTAAACACCTCGACCCTTATCATACCACCTTTCAAGAACTGAAAATTTACAGGTCCCCACAAGTATCTCTGAAAACAGCTGTAGAAACCCTGAAGCTTGGGACAGTACATTCTCTACATTGGAAGCAGATTCGTACCTTAACAAAGAGTTTAAAACTCAAGTAATTGGCTGGGATCATGAGCAAGCAGTGCAAAAAGAGTCAGACCATAGAATCTTACTTTGGTGAAAAAGAAGATCAAAACATACAACCGGAAGAAGACAACAAAGTCAAAGCTCCCACATCCAAAGCCTCCAAGAAAAATATGAATCAGTCCCAGGCCTTGGAAGAGCTCAAAAGGGATTTTGAGAAGCAAGTAAGAGAAGTAGAGGAAAAACTGGGAAGAGAAATGAGAGTGATGCAAGAAAATCATGAAAAACAAGTCAACAGCTTGCTAAAGGAGACCCAAAAAAATACTGAAGAAAATAACACCTTAAAAAATAGCCTAACCCAAATGGCAAAAGAGGCCCAAAAAGCCAATGAGGAGAAGAATGCCCTAAAAAGAAAAATTGGCCAAATGAAAAAGGAAGACCAAAAGACTACTGAAGAAAATACTTCCTTAAAAATTAGAATGGAGCAACTGGAAGCTAGTGACTTTATGAGAAATTAAGATACAAATCCAAAAGAATGAAAAATTAGAAAATAATGTGAAATATCTCATTGGAAAAACAACTGACCTGGAAAATAGATCCAGGAGAGATAATTTAAAAATTATTGGATTATCAGAACCAGCCTCATGGGTATATGTATTCCAGCCAAGGGTTAAAAGGAAAATATCACTTTGCTCTGCTATAGTATTTTTAACAAAACACCTTATCTTTGGCCTCCAAGTACCTGAAAAAGAAGTCATTCAAACTGCTTTGGGACTGGGAATTATACCACTGGAACCCAAGTGAACTGGAGAGAAAGTGAATTCAAACCCTGCTCTCACCTGCCAGTGGCATTTCTGCTGCTTTTCATCATAAAAGTAAAGATACTCACATGACAGTACTTATCCTCACACCTGAGCTTTACCATAACCGCAGGAGGGAAGGATGGGGGTGGGGGTGAGAGGAGAGGGAGGGAGTTACTATTAACCCCCATTTTACAGATGAAAAGGTGGGGGCAGACAGAGGGTCCCCTAGCTGGGAAGGATCTGAGGGGGGATCCTAGCTCCAAGTTCAGTCTCTGCCCACTATGCCATGCTACTTCTTTCATACTCCTTAGAAAACATTTAAGCTTGTGCAAAACATCAGGGCCAACTGAGGAACTTCAGGAGACAATGCTCAAGGTATTAATTTTACACATGCCTGGTTTCCCTTCCTTCCAATTCTTTTTATTTTATTTTTTTATTTTTAGGCAATTGGGGTTAAGTGACTTGTCCAGGGTCGCACAGTTAGTAAGTGTCACGTGTCTGGTCTGGGATCAGATTGAACTCAAGTCCTCCTGACTCCAGGCCCAGCGCTCTATCCACCATGCCACTTAGCTGCTCCCTTTCTTCCAATTCTTGACACTTCTTGATTCCTCATCCCAACTGACATCCCACGAATCTGACACCAGAGCACACACCACAACGGAAAAGGTTTAGACAGGGACTGCCTACATTTGACATAGAGCTGAATGGGACCAATTAAGGCACCTGGAAATCACTCTTTATGACCTGACCCTTCTCTTCCAGCTCACCTAGATTTCACTGGAGAGGCTCAGTTCTCATAACCCAAAGAGGAAAGTGATTGAAAAAGAGCCTACTTTTCTATAATCCCTTTGGCAGTCCTCTTCCACTCGACTCGTCAAAGAAGCTATCCGGGCCTCCCGGCGGGCCTTTGCTGAAGCCCGGTCACTATAGGGATCGGTGGTGGTGAGGCCTTCTGATTCCAATCTACAGAGAAACAAAAGCAAAGGCACAACTTGATTCCGAGAACAAAGAAAAGAAAGGAGTGGGGAATGGGGTGTCGTTGCTTAAAGGCTGCCTGTCACTCCTCTGAGGAACACTTAAAAGCACTGGCCAGAAACACCACAAACTGCTTCTCCCTTTAATCTCTCACTGCAAGTATTCCATGGCCCTCACAGCAAAGCTTCATGAGCTTATTTGGGGAGGGGGGTGGTGTAGCAGATTGCCAAGTGTGGAGCCTACTTGGTTTGGAGCTGTGCACTAAACTTGAATCTTCAGGGCTTTTCAAATTAGTTTAAGTTTGAGTTGCTTCCCACACTAGAGAGAGCTTTAAAAGGAAAAGTTTTTTTTGGATGCTGGTGACTCTTGCAAAATCTGATTCCAATGAAGTGTCAATGAAACAGAAACATATTACTTGGAGATCTGGACTTGAGGTTTCAGGGTGTGGAGCTTGGCAGAAGGTTGCTATGCTGCTGAGTAAGTTGCTCCATAGGTTTGTTTGAACTACAAACATTTAGGGATGCTACCTGATCACAAACACAACTGTCCCTCTTACTCTATATTGCATGGGTAGGCTGTCATGCTGGAGTGACATCTTCTAGCAACCCAGTAATAACATCTAGAGACTCAGAGCGTGTTAGGGGTGGTGCTGACTTTCTGTTCCTAGCATCTCTGGTCAGTCCAAGCCCAATGAAGGAATGTTAGAAGCAATAACAGCTATAACACCTGGGAGTGGAGATCCTACTATTCTGATGTACACCCTTCACCTTGTTCCTTAATAAAACTGTTCACACCCCCCCAAACTAAAAAGTTGCCAACTGTCTAAAATGCTGGGGGTGGGGGGAGCCCGACCCAACCAAACCCAAACCCTAGCCTCACAAAGCTCAACACCAAACGGATCCATCTTGGGAAGGAGTACGGCTGCGCAAGCGTGCATGCTTCTACATGTTTGGGGATTGTCACAGTTGGGAGGAGGAGTTGAGAAGAAGCTAGAAAAGGTAGCTGACGACTTCGGGAAGAGACTGCCAGGGGAAGCAAGGATCTATGATGCCATTTTAAACCATAATGTTCCTTTGGGATGACAAGAGAGTCAACAAAAGATTATCTCATAAAACAGCCACTTCCCTATCAGATGAGTAGCAGAGAGTATCGATTTTATTTGGCTTATTCCCTTGTTAGTACCTAGTGGGAGGGCAGACTGGTACATCTTAGAAGAAATTTGCAAGGCAGGGAATTATACCCAACTTTTTCTGAATTCAATGACCAACTATGGAAAAGAAACAGCTTTCCCTTGAGGTAGACTATCGATATATCTTTTTCTTGAAACACTGGGAAACTTGAGCTTTCCCAGATTCCTCTTCCTTATGGCCTGGGATGTTTGCTTCTTAATGCCACTACTCTCCCCAACCCCCCCCCCATCCCCATCCTGAGATCAATGTTAACCTTTAGATATTAGATTCATTCAACGAAACATTATCAGGAAATGAAATTTTTTTTTTACTTCTTTCCATAATTCTTTAGCAACTCAAAATGTAGCTTTCCAAATTTATTGCCAATTTATCATGTGTAAGGCACTATGCTAGATACCTGGGGGGTGGGGAAGTGGGAGCAGGGTGAATAAAAGGTTGTATAAGACAGTCTCTGTTTTCAAGAAGTTAACAATATACTAGAGGAGATAAGACATAGGGTTACAGGATCCTAGATTTCGAGCTGGCATCTAGTCCAGCTCCCTCCCAATATTACAGATGAGGAAACTGAGGCTCAGAGAGGGGCAAGGATTCATACAAGGTAACTCAGAGTCAGGATCTGCACCCATGTCTTCTAACTCCATGATTCCATGGTGCCTCTCAACACTTCAGGGATCAGTGATTTCTTTATCATGATGATTATACTGCCTCTGAGGAATGCACCTGAAAAACTATAAGACAGGATGTGAGATCTGGGGTATAAACTTGTGCTTTGGGAGTGTGGAGGAGAAAGGGCTTCATTTTGGCCTGGGGAGAGAAGGAGGTAAGATGGGAGCTCCTGTAAAGGAAGGACTTTGGAGATGAGCTAGAGAGATGGGTGATATTTTGATAAGCAAGGCTGGAGGAAGGAATAGCACCATTAAGAAAAAAGAAATGTAGCTTTTTAGAACAGTAAATCTAGATTAGATGGAGAGTAGGGTTTGTGTTGGGAAGTAGAGGAAGGCAAGGCTGGAAAACTGAGCTGGGGTTAGACAGTGGATGGCTTTTAATAAAAGGATAAGCAGGAACTTTATTTGACAGAAAGTGAGAAGTCACTGAAAACTTCTGTGAAATCAATAAATCAATGAACAAGTATTCATTAAGTTCCTACTATGTGCCTAGGTCCTAGCATTACAAAAACAACAAACCATCCCTGTCCATAAGGAGGTTACATTTTATTGGGGGAGTCTATATGTGTGTGCATGTGTATGTATACGTACACATATACATATAAATACACACACACACACACACATATATACATATATATATGTATGTATGTGTATATATATATATATATCATACACATAATATTTGCTGTTTTTCAGTCACGTCTGACTCTTTGTGACCCCATCTTGGCAAAGATACTGGAGTGATTTGCCATTTCCTTCTCCAGTTCATTTTACAGATGAGAATACTGAGGTAAACAAGGTAAAGTGACCTGCCCATAATTACACACACACACACACACACACACACACACAATTTGAGAGGGAGAGCCCTAGTGCCTGGGGGTATCAGGAAGGGCTTCATCTAGAAGGAGTTACCTGAGCTGGGCTTTGAAGGAAACAAGAGAGTCACAGAGGCAAAGGCAGATGTGAGGAGACTTCCAGTACAAAGGCTTGGAGACAAGTTGTCCCGGCAGTCAGTCAGTCAACAAGGATTTATTAAGTGCTTACTATATGCCAGGCACTGTACTAAACACTCTAGCGCTTAGATACAAAGAAACACAAAAACATAGCTCCTGTCCTCAAGAACTCACATTTTAATGAGAAAGACACACACAAAAATTACACAAATACAAAAATTATGTATGTATTCCATTAGAGTGAGAGCTCCTTGAGGGCAGGGCTTGTCTTTGGCCTCTTTTTGTATTCCTAGTGCTTAGCACAGTGCCAGAGGGCACACAGCAGGTGCTTCATAAATGTTTAGTGACTGACATATAAGATATCTACAGTATAACTAGAAGCTAATCTCAGAGGAAGACACTAGCAGTGGAGTTGTGCAGGAAAGGCCTCCAGCAGAAAGTGGGATTTGAGCACAATCCTGAGAGAGGCCAGGTAAGCCAGGAGTCACAGGTAAGGAGGGAGAACATTCCAGGATCTCAGCCCATAAGACAGAATGTCCCATACAAGGTGCAGTAAAGGGGCACCCATAGCTATACTATAGGGTATATGGAGGGGGGTAAAGTGGAAGCATGCTGGAAAGGCAAAAAGGGGCCACGGTGTGAGGAGCTTTCACTGCCAAACAGAGCATTTTATTGGAGTGCATGTGAGCATGCGACACAGTCAGACTTGCGCTTTAGGCTGTAAGGGGCTTTAAAAGTTTACATCTGCCACAGAAGGGAAGGGATGTGGTGCTTTGGGAATATTAATCTGGAGGTAACCCCCACCATATGATTTCTCCATTACTATTCTAGAACTGCTGTGCACCAGTGGAAAAAATGTAGGGTCCATAGCCTCAACTAGGTCCTCATTGATACCTGATAATCCTTCTACTAGATCAGATTCTTATCAGCTCCCTTCTTCACTCCCCAAAGTAACTATTCCAAACCTTTCCTTCCCTTTTTTCCCCTGCATCTTTATTCCCAACACCCTGGTCTTGCCATTCTATTCCAGCAGATGACTCTACCTAGTCCTCTAATTCAATGAGAAGAATGTAGCCATCTGCTTGAGCTCTCTCAGCTCCCTTTTTCATTCCTTAAAGCTCAGGATCATCATTCACTTTCTCCTTGTTCCCACTAGTCATAGATGAGGTATCCCCAATCCTCACTAAAGGTAATCTTGACATGGATGCCCTCAATTACTTTCCCTCCAGACTCCTCCAAGGCCTTACTCTAAAGGTCTGCCTGTCTTGTTTTTAACCTCTCCTTTTCCACTTACTCTCACCTATCCAAGTACAAAAATGATGCTCACTTCTCCCCAACTCTTAAAAAGCTTTCTCTTCCATTCAGTTACTATCCCATCCTCTACTGTGATTCACTATTAAACTTCTTTTAAAAAGTTGTCTATACCTGATGCCTACCCCCCCCAATCTTTTCAAACTGCTCTCTCAAAGGTCATCAGTGACTTCCCAATCACCAAATCCTTTTGTTTCCCAGTCTTTATCCTCCTTAATCTCTCTGCAAGCTTTTGACCTTGTAGATCCTTCCCTTCTATTTTCAGCTCTCTGGGTTTTTCCCCTTTGTCTTCAGCTGCTCCCCTTCTCCTTTACTGGTTCCTCTATTGGTGATTCTTTTATATGGCTCTTCCTCTTCAGCCTGCCCTCAGTCTTCTTACTCTTTTCAATCTACACTTTCCCCTTTAGCAATCTCATTTACTCCCATAGCCTCAACTACAACCTCAATGCAAATGACTTTCACATTTTCATTTCCCATCTTGATTTCTCTTCTGACCTTCGGACACATATCTCTAGCTGGCTACTAGATGTCTCTATTTAGATCCACTAGCACTTTAAATTCAAAATGCCCCAAACTGGCCATCATCTTTGGCCCCAAAGCTACTCCTTTTCCTGACTGTACTATTTCTGTCATTAATACTATTACTGAGCCACTCTCTCATGTGTATAATCTGAGAGTCATCTTTGGCTCTTTGCCCTTCACTTCTCATATCCAATCAGTTCCCAGGCACTTATTAAATGCCTACAATGTGACACATCTATGCTAGGTGCTGGAGATGTAAAACCCAAAACAAAATAGCCTTTGACCTCAACGAGCTTACATTTTATCAGGGGAGATATGTACACATATAAGTATATACGAAATAAATATAAGGTAATTGGTGAGGGTAGGAAATGGATGTAAGGCACTTGCAACTAGGGAGATCACAGAAGCCCTCATCAAGGTGGCACCTGAGCTAAGATCTTGAAGTTGCATGTTATAGATGGAGGAAAAGGGAAAGGGGAGGGAGGGAAAGAAGAGGAGAGAGAGACAAAGGGGAGAAAGGAGATCATTTAGGAGGCCATTACACTAGTTCAGATGAGAATTAATAAAGGCCTGAAATAGAGTAGTGGCAGTAGGAATGAAAAGTGCCAGAAGAGGGAAACATTGCTAAACTGTGTGAAGGAAAAAGATTAAGGCAAATCACTCTCACACATAAGTATTAAGCATGCATATAAAACAGGGAAAATTCTTACCTAGAAAGTCTTTCATGCTAGAGAAAGAGACAAAAGAAAAAAAAACACAACATTAGCAAGAAATGGATTCATTATTTCCATTTATAAAACTGTACTCTTGACAAAAGATTCATCTACTTCATAACTACAGGTCAGAATAAATCTGAAAATGGAGAACAACTGACTGTTTTTAAAAGTTAGGATGCTAGGCTCTGGCTTCAATGTTCTCTGTGGCATTGATCCCTTGAATTTGGGACTTTCTGGGCAGCCTTTTCTGGCTAGTAGGGTGTTAAGACCAAAAGCAAAAATACCCCACTAGGAATCTAGTAACTTTTTTTTTTTTTTACCACTTACTGTTCTACTGCAGCTAGTGGCTGTTCCTAGGTAAATTACTCAAGCTCTTGAGGGTAAAGAACCGACTTGTCTTTCTCTAGGTCGTTGGGATCTTGTGAGATTAAATGAGTTTTGGGAAGAAAAGTCAATTATTTTTGGCCATTAAAAACAAGTTTTACAATACTGATAAGGTCTTCCTAAATTATCTGTGATTTTTATTTGGTTATAGCAATTTCTGTGTCTCAATTTCCTCTCCCATTACTACTTTTACCAAAGCCCAACCAAGTAAAAAACTCAAGGGATTTGAATTTCACTTCTTTGTTTACTCTCTTCAGGTGCTACTGAGCAGAAAAATTGTCAAAGACAGGTAAATAAATGGAGAAGTAAAAGTGCCAGGACAGTCCTGGGGATGTAGACAATCAATCCCTAAATAACTGAGACTTGGTTCCTTTGGAGTGTTGAATCAGACTGCTTTGTTACAAACTTTTAACTGGGTCTGTGTGTTCACAAGTGATTTGATAATCACCAAGGCAATGACATCCCCCTCCTCCTTCTCCTGAAGAAGTCTCTCACCAGCACCAGGAAAACCATATTCCAAGCACATGCAGCATGACAGCTCTCTAGAGCTTTGCCAAAACATATATCCCAAAGCTTGCCCTGAATGACTTAGCAGACTGTCTTTACTAGCTGCTGTGGTCAAAAATTCATCACCTGGTGGTCAACCTCAGGGTGAGCTTCTTAATGGAGCTAGGATGATCTTTGTATGATAGACACAGAATCTACTTCAGGGTCTGTTCTTGAAGCTTTTCCAGCTTGATAGGACTTGCTGGAGACTCCCTGGCACTGCCTTCTAGGACCCAGGGTCATCCCCATACTACAAGAGGCATTAGACTAGGACTCTGGTGGAGGAGAAAAGAGCTCAAGGCCCACCTAGTGTACTTTGCTGCTTCTACATAGGACTACACACAAACCTTCCTAAACTATTCAAAGAAACACAGAATCTCAGAATAGAAGTGATCTCAGATGCCATCAAGTCTATCCCATTCCTGTATAAGAATGCCCTCTACAACATTTCTGAATGATTATTTAGCCTTTGCCTGAAAACATTGAAATGAAGAAAAACTCATTACCTTCTGAAGCATCTCATTCCACTGTTGGATGGCTCTAATTTTTAAGGGCTTCTTCCTGATTTCAAATCCAAATCCATCTCCTTGAGACCTCTACCTACTGTTCTAGTTCAGCCTTCTGGTGCCAAGCAGAACAAGTTGAACCCCTCTTTCATATGACAACCCTTCAAATACCTGAAGAAAGCTATTAGATCCCCCAACCCTCTTCTACAGGATAAACATCCTCAGTTTCTTCAGCTGATCCTTATTCACCATGACCTCGAGGCTCTTCCTCATCCTGGTCTCTTTTGGATACTCTCTGGCTTATCCATATGGTACCCCAAATGGAACACACCATTTCAGATGTGGCATGGGGAGGGCAAGTTCATGGAGCTCTCTGCCAAGATGGGTATTCAATGCCTTCTTGGCTCCCCCTGATCCATTCTGCTTCACTACGCCCACTTCCTTAGGATGAGTGTGGATTAAGGTCTGCCTACCCTTTTAAGAGCTAAACACCCTTTCAATACATTGATTTTGCTTCTATAATATTGTTACTTCACTTGTAAAAATGTTTTTAGTTTCCCTTTCCAGCTAATCGCTCTTGCTTTCTGGTAAGATTTCAGCTAAATCTGTTGTGTTAAGCTTTTTTCATAGAATCTGGCAGTAGCTTCTATAGTCAAGAAGCAATCTTTCCTTTTCATCAAGACAGGGGAATTAGGAAGGGATTAGCAATTCTCTTGATAGATATTTACTCTTGAAGTGTATGTATCAAAGCAATGCTAATCCTTTCTGCTGACAGCCTTACTTACAAGAATAAATAATTATGATAATACCCCACTTAATTTACCACTGCACAGGTAACATGACAGGGCTATCTGGATCCTGTAATCACACAGAAGAAAGTCCTTAGACAGACATCAAACCGTACAGTGAAGCGGCTATGACTGGAAGTTGTGAGCCACCGATGGGGTTGGTTGGTGTGAAATACAAATTTGACTTGACACAACTATGTAGCAATGAGGGCCAGGCAAATCTGGGTTTCTGGATGAAGAGGCCCCGAAATAATTTTCAATAGATGAGTCAATGTTAGCATGAGGCAGGAGGGCAAAGCGTCAATGAAATAAATCTTGGTATGCCACCACGATTTCTTACTCCATCGGTTTATTGTATCAGGCATTTCACAAAGGCAGCAGTCAAAATGGCTGTTCACAACTCTTCTAATTTTTACCTGCTTTGAGTCACAATGGGTGGTTAATATTCCCAAAAGGGATTAGAAATAGCAGCAGGTTGTGATAATATCTCTTGTCATCAGCTGGTCTTTGATGAATGACTGTGGGAAAATGTTTATGTATGGAGTGATCCACAAAACAAGAAAAGACAGTGAAGCCATTCTATATCAGACACAAGATTAAGACTGAGCATTCAAAGCTGTGCCAACAATTCTTTTTTCTTTCTTTCTTTCTTTGGGGGGCGGGGAAGGCAATTGCGGTTAAGCGACTTGCCCAAGGTCACATAGTTAGAAAGTGTCAAGTGTCTGAGGCCAAATTTGAACTCAGGTTCTCCTGACTCCAGGGCTGGTGCTCTATCCACTGCAACACTTAGCTGACCCTATGCCAACAATTGTCACTCTCTTTTATCTGGTCCTTACCCTGGATTTTTACCCAGCCTGTCCTCTGGCCTTCTGTGAACTTCGAAAGAATGTGAACTTGCTTCCTATCAGCCTTTGGTGGTCATTTTTGGTGGGCTCTTGAAAGTCAGCCCAAACCACCAGAAATTGGGAGAAGGGTGAATTTATATCAGTACCTCAAACTCAACATATATAAAAACTAATCTTTTTTTGGGAGATATTTAATATTTTATTTTTTCCCCAAAAATGGAAAAACAGTTTTCAACATTAGTCTTTTAAAATTTTGAGTTCCAAATTTTCTCTCTCCTCTCCCCCACTTTGAAAAACTAAGCAATCTGATGTAGATTATATATGTGCAGTCATGGAAAATATATTTCCATATTAGTCATGTTGTAAAAGAAAACACAAACAAAAAAAAATCCCCAAAACAAAAAAAATGTTAAAAAAAAGTATGCCTCAATCTGCATTCAGACTCTATCAATTATTGCTCTACAGGTGGATAGCATTTTTCATCATGAGTCCTTTGGAATTGTCTTGGATCACTGTATTGCTGAGAACAGCTAAGTCATTCACAATTGATCATCATATAATGCTGTTATTGTGTTAAATGTTCTCCTGGTTCTGTTCATTTTACTTTCTTTCAATTCGAGTAAGTCTTTACAAGTTTTTCGGAGAGCACCCTGCTCATCATTTCTTATAGCACAATAGTGTTCCATCACAATCATATACCACCACTTGGTTAGCCTTTCCCCAATTGATGAGCGCTCCCTCAATTTCCATTTTTTTGCCACCATAAAAAGAGCTATAAATATTTTTGTACACATATGTCCTTTTCCCTTTTGTTTTTTATCTCTTTGGGATACAGAACTGGTAGTGGTATTGCTAGGTCAAAGAGTATGTATGCACAGTTATAGCCCTTTGGGCATAGTTCCAAATTGCTCTCCAGAATGGCTAAATCAGTTCATAACTCCACCAACAGTGCATTAACGTCTCAATTTTTCCACATCCCCTCCAACATCTGACATTTTCCTTTTCTGTCATATTATCCAATCTGATAGGTATGAGATGGTATCTCCCAGTTGTTTTAATTTGTATTTCTCTAATTAATAGTGATTTAGAGCATTTTTTCATATGGCTATAGATAACTTTGATTTCTTCTTCTGAAAACTGCTTATTCATATCTTTTGGCCATTCATTAATTGGAGAATGACTTATATTCTTATAAATTTGACTCAGTTCTCTATACATTTGAGAAATAAGGCCTTTATCAGAGACATTTGCTGCAAAAATTCTTTCGTAGTCATGATTACTATGTATTTCCCTCTGCACGTGGGCAATGCAACAAAATCCTGTACCCACTGCCAGCAAAGGGACCCCTATAATCTTCTGACCAGCTGACCCCCTTAATGTCTGTGGGTTGAGAGTTCTGGGAGCTGTTGCCCATTCATTCGCCCTGAGGCCCTGCTTCTAGCTTGCTGGGATGAGGCCTGATGCTGCTGGCTTGCTTGGGTCCTGGTTGTGCTGGACTGTGCTCCACTCTCATCCTGGTGCAATAGACCTTTCCTTCCGACCCTCTAAGTTGTCTTGGGCTGGAAAGCTGTTTCACCCTATCTTTTTATGGGTTCTACCACTCCAGAATTTTTTTTTCCCACCCAAAGACAAGGTTTATTAAAGATCTGCCGTATTAGCCAGACTCTTAAGTAATCTCAGCACCTGTGAGTTTTGGCTAGATTGTAAAAATCTGAGCCCAGAATTTGTTTTGAGCTGTTATGTTAAAGTTGTTTAGAAGGGAATTTGGAGAGCTCAGGTGAGTCCCTGCCTTTTTTCCCACCATCTTGGTTCTGCCCCCATCTAAAACTAATAGTACCTTTCCTTCCTTCTGAACTTTCTGTTAGTGGCAGCCCATCACTCATCCAATCCATGACATCCAATGCAGAACTCTCCCACTGTACTATGCTGCTCAAAAACATAA